CACCCCCATCCCACCCCCCTTTAAGAAAGGCCTGGTCCGCTTTTAATTAAATATACGTGTCAACTGGTTATGCGCCATTGACTCCGATTTCAGCCTGCTTTTCTTTTTGGATTTGCTTCCATACCTTTTGTCCAACCAAGAATAAACTACAAGGCAGCAGCTGTTTGATTTTGGAGTTGTCTCTCTAGATAAGTGGATGTCCCCAGCTTAAGAATCTCATCTGCCCAATGGTTTGAACTAGAAACTTTTCGGTTTAGCAACCATGAATTTCTATATAAATAACAAGTTTTACGCAGAGACTAATTTTATTTTGACATATACAATACTAGCTAAACTATACTTGAGGTTTTCACTAGAGATTCTGGAGAATGAAAAGAGGTATACTATTTCGACAAGACAGTATTATCGTTACACCTTCATAAACATATTATTGTATATGTTAAATATATAAATAGAATGATCTCTGATTTCAGATATATGTTTATGTCCTTTGTTAACACACACACACATCATTTTTTATTCACAGTAATAATTAACGGAATAATTTACTAGTGGACTCCACTAAAATCTCACCTACAACTGTGATCTCACAAGCAGAAAACGAACTATTATCGCCTATCCTCTCACATAAGATTTGAGTCAACTCTCTAGGCATAGAAAACACCCCGAGAAACGTGGCGAAGGGTGAACTTTTGTCAGAGTCATTTGCTATCGTATAATCTGAAAATTATTAGTTTTCATTTCATCCTGAATAAATGACAAAAATTTTCTAGAGTGATGAGCAATATATCTCGGTTATTAAATCACTCAATTTTTATTTATATGAATAAACTTGAAAATTATTTTAAAAGATGTAATTATAAACATTTTTTAAAAACATTTAGATTTAATTTTACACACATGTAGAACATAAGCTTTACTGGCAGGGCGTGAAAGTTGCTATACAAGAAAGTACAATGCTTGTATGGTACGAGACATTCGCTCATACTTTCTATGTTATGTCGGTTTAGCTTATGCTCTTTGTAATGTATTTATATATTAAGTTTAAGTCCTTTATAATGCATTGATATATTAAACTACCCGAGTCAAAAACCAACGAACTCTACTTCAATCGCTAGGCCAAAAGATACTGTTTTTAAAGTGCAAGAAGCTAAGTAATGCAACAATACTGGGCTATATTTATCCCGTCTCTTACGAATGAGCGATACTTTCTAAAAATATATTTGATCGAATTTATGGACTACTACGTTGACTATGGATGAAATTACAACCCATATTCTCCAAGACAGAGAAACAATGTGTGTTGTAATCGTTGACGATAGCACACAGAAGCAAGTTGGTCTGAGTCTTGAACGTTTAATGACGGTCAGGGGCGTAGCGAGGGGGGGGGGGGGCGGGGGGGTGCGGACCGCACCGGATGACACCATTTAGGGGGGTGACACCAAGGCAAAAAATAGCAAAATATATAGAGAGAAAAACTTGAGGGGGGTGCAAATCAAAAGTTTGCAGGGGGGGGGGGGTGCAAATCGAAAACTTGAGGGGGGGGATGCAAATCGTAAGTTTGAGGGGGGGGGTGCAAATCGAACATTTGTCCCCGGGTAGGGTCGCTACGCTTCTGGGGGGTCGACACTATTAAATGCCGCACCGGGTGACACCCGACCTCGCTACGCCACTGATGACGGTGACCATTATCGTTCACGTTAGATAACCTTCAACATATCGTCACTAAAATGGGACTCAACATACAGAATCGGATAACTGTAGTGGGTCTTATCATAATCAGAGTGACCTTTGATCTCTCTTATCTAGTCGTATTTTATGGTCATATTCCCATTAGAAATTATCACATTTAAAAAATTATCACTTTTACACTTCTGTTTGGCGCTGAGAAAAAAAATATCTTAAAAATCAAAGAAAGTTAAAATCTTTGGAATCTTACGGTTTCGGGGGTAGGTGGAGTAGAGTTCACTTTTTTTTCAATGACCTCAGCAAATGAAAGGAACATGTAATCAGCACAATAACCGATATCTTTTACTCTCCCCAAGTTGAATCAGGTACCCATTAGGGCTGGGTGAACTCAGATTCTTTTTTGTTCCAATGTGGCTTGATTTTAAAATCATACATATTCGGGGGATCGAGGTTGTTTTACGCATATTGTTATATGTTATAGCTACACACTAGTAGCACTTGCATATGGCGTTATCTCAAAAAAATAAAAAATTGGACATCTGTGGTTTATCACGTGTCGTCTTCGACCAGCGTATATTCACCTTTATACTTACTGTGATGACGCAAGGTTGCGTCGGAGAGGTCAGGTAGATAGCAGAAACAGGCTATAGCGAGTTGGTCAGACAGAGACCAATAAAAATACGTGAACTGACCGGTCACGTGGGACGGTCAGCTGACCACTGAGGCGTGGGTCAGTAGAGAGATTAGCGGCAGTTGATAGGTAGCTAGCGAAGAGTAGAGAAGGTGTTAGGAAGCGGTCAGAGACGGTCGAGATATGTAGGGCTAGATAACAGTTGATAATTAGTGAAGAGAGCGGTCAGATAGGTAGATCTAGGAAACGGCGGACAGTAGTAGTAGTAGTAGAGAGTATAGAATAGGCTAGTTAGTTAGAAACTTGATTTTATAATTTTAATAAATAACATTTTATACAGGATCTTGTGTCATTGGATTCGTTTCGCCTCTTAAAAATCCTTACACTTACCTGAGCTGTAATTGGACTGCGTCAGATTACACTGTGTCTGTAAGGACACATAATCATGCGTACATTCTCCAACCAATGTCTTGACGCCAGCGTTGGTCACGTAATATCTCATGGCGGTCTCGTTATGGTGTCCGATACACCTGAACGAAAACGAATGCTGCTCTGCTACAGTTTTGAAGACGCTGGTTATCTCCGATGGCTCACAAGCTGAATGGTCAGGGAAATATTTGTTGGGAACGTGAAATCAACAGCTATTATTATAATTATTTTACCCTGACAATAAAACCACTCAGTGTATTTGTTTTAAATCAACATATAAACAGAGGCATAGCGACCCTTCCCGGCGCCCGGGGACAAACTTTCCATTTGGCGCCCCCCCCCCCCCCCCTCGGGAGCTAATTCGATTTGCACCCCCCCCCCCCTCGAACTGTTTATAGTGCAAAAATGCAGCTAAAATGACATTTTAATTTGTTTTTACAACCCATTTTGGCGCCCCCTAAGGTCGACGCCCGGGGACATATGTACCCCCTGCCCCCCCCCCATCGCTACGCCTCTGCATATGTATAATATGAATATCATGGGTATAGAAGACATGTCCAAAAACATAATATCGAGAAAAATGGGTTTATAAATCTCAATCCATTAAAATAGTGCAAAATATTATGTTTAAACATTCATAAAATATTTGCATTCTACGTTTTTACTTTCTCGTATATACGTAGTATAGAGAAAGTATTGTAATCGTGCAAAAAAAAAAATCGAGATTTTTACAAATCTCGACGTTTTACACCTCACTGA